GTCAAAATATTGAAAAAAATTAAAACTAAATGGATAGAACACCTGGAGAGAAACGATATATCAGAGTATGGCTTTCAGTCTGGTAGATCCTGTGTATCGAATTTACAGTTTCTTTGATCGAGCAACAGAGATATTACAGGAAAGAGATGGTTGGGTTGACTGCATCTATCTGGAACTAAAAAAGGCTTTCGACAGAGTTCCACGTAAGAGGTTGTTCTGGAAACTGGAACGTATTGGAAGAGTGACAGGTAAACTTCTAACATGGATGAAAAATTTTCTGACCGATAGAAAAATGAGGGCAGTAATCAGAGGCAATGTATCTGACTGGAGAAATGTCACAAGTGGAGTACCACAGGGTTCAGTTCTTGCACCAGTGATGTTTATTGTCTACATAAATGATCTACCAGATGGAATACATTATTATATGAACATGTTTGCTGATGATGCTAAGATAATAGGAAGGATAAGAAACTTAGATGATTGTCATGCCCTTCAAGAAGACCTGGACAAAATAAGTATATGGAGCACCACTTGGCAAATGGAATTTAATGTTAATAAATGCCATGTTATGGAATGTGCAATAGGAGAACATAGACCCCACACAACCTATATATTATCCGAGGACCACATTAAGAATATTGTGCGAGGAGCCTATGCCACGCTTTCTAACTTCAGAATTGCTTTTAAATACATGGATGGCGATATACTAAAGAAATTGTTCACGACTTTTGTTAAGCCAAAGCTAGAATGTCCCGTGGTTGTGTGGTGCCCATATCTTAAGAAGCACATCAACAAACTGGAAAAGGTGCAAAGACATGCTACTAATTGGCTCCCAAAACAGAAGGGCAAGAGCTACGAGGAGGGGTTAGATGCATTAAATATGCCAAAACTAGAAGATAGAAGAAAAAGAGTAGACATGATCACTACATACAAATTAGTAACAGGAATTGATAAAATTGATGAAGATTCCCGAGATCTGGAACTTCAAGGACAAGAGGTCATAGATTTAAACTAACTAAACAAAGATGCCGAAGAAATATAAGAAAATTCACTTTTGCAAACAGAGTGGTAGACGGTTGGAACAAGTTAGGTGAGAAGGTGGTGGAGGCCAAGACCGTCAGTAGTTTCAAAGCTTTATATGACAGTACTGGGGAGACGAGACATCACGAGCGTAGCTCTCATCCTGAAACTACACTTAGGTAATTACACAATGTACAAGTGTTCCAATATACAAGAGAATATCTAAACAACAGTTACCGACGACTAACTCTCTACTAACGCAGAGAGTTACTGTGAGCCGAGACCTCAGACTGGCGTGATTTCACCACCGGCGTCCCGCAGGGTTCTGTACTCCGATCTATTCTGTTTCAGATATACGTGAATGATCTTCCAGATGGTATAGACTCATTCTTCTCAATGTTTGCTGAGAATGCTCAAATTAAGGAAAGAGGAGGACAGCAAGAGGCCACAAGATGACCTGGACAGACTGAAGGAATAGTTCAACGAATGGCTACTAGAGTTTAACTCGAGCAAGTGTATAGGGATGAAGATTGGCGTAGCGAACAAGAGGCTAAACACCAGGTACCAGCTGGGAGAGGAAATCCTTCAGGAGTCAGGACGAGGAAAGATCACCAGATCTGTCCCCCTGAAGCCCACCATCAAAAGGACATCAGTGGCGTATGCAAGACTGGCGAACATATGAAATGCCTTCAGAAACTTGTGTATGGAATCATTCAGAACCTTGTATACCACATGTCAGACCAATGGTGAAATATGGAGCGGACTCCAGCGTGGAGTCCATACCTAGTTAAACACAAAACGAAATTAGAAAAGGTTCAGAAGGTATGCCTCCAGCCTAGTCCCGGAACTCAGAGGAATGAGCTACGAGGAAAGATTACTGGAACTGAACCTCAAGACACTGGTAGAGAGAAGAGTGGGGGGAGACATGATCACTACCTATAAAATTCTCAGAGGAATTGACAGGGTAGACAAGGATAAACTGTTAAACACGGGTGGCACGCGAACAAGGGGACACCGAGTACCCAAATGAGCCACGGACACATTAGCAAAAAACTTTTTCAGGGTCAGAGTAATTAACATATGGGATGCATTAGGCAGCGATGTGGGAGGCTGACTCCATACACAATTTCAAATGAGAACCTGATGTCCTCTTACAAATTACGTCTGAATTTAGCCGTTGTCACGTACGGCCGAAAACTGACGTAATTTGAAAATGAAAAAAATCCCAAAGCAGTAAGTTAAGGGTCCTCTGGTAGGTTAGAAGGGAAGGAAATTCTCCTAAAATTTCAAAACGTCATTAAAAACGTTAATTGAAAGTTTCCTCTCCTAACCTAACAGACCAAGCCGGAGGACCCAAACAGAAAACGGGACAGAGCATCACTTTCGTGAGCAGATTTAATTTCAAATTACGTCAGTTTTCGGCCGTAGCGCACACACCAGCGAAAAGTGACGTTATTTTTAAGAGGACGGTTTGCAACCTCGAGAAGCTCAGATATCTGTACACCGGCTGATTGACAGTTGAGAGGCGGGACCAAAGAGTCAGAGCTCAACCCCCGCAAGCACAACTAGGCGAGTACACAGTAGACAAACAAAGCAGCATTGCTCAAAGCCAAGACCAGCAACACCCGGGACCACTGATGGACACCCGGGACCACTGATGGACACCCACGAGGCACAGACACATCAGTAAGAACTCTCCCGGTGGTAGACCTGTCCCTGACACTACATCTTACACGCACAAGTCCTTCAAGATAATTACATTACAAAAAAATGATTCTAAATTGAGTGACAGTTGAGAGGCGGGCCGAGAGAGCAGAGCTCAACCCTCGCAAGCACAACTAGGTGAATACACAAATACGGTGAAAGAGAGAGACTTGGGACAAAAAGACGTTATCGTGGTTGAGTGCATAACGCTCGGGGGTCGCAGTCCTAAGGGCCTGGGTTCAATCCCCTGCTGAGGCGAAACAAATGCATGGACAGTTTCTTTCACCTCAAGCCTCTTTTCACTTCGCAATAAATACCTACCTGGGAGTTAGACAGCTGCTCCAGGGGATGTGCAGGTTAGAGAAAAATACATATACAGTAGACATAATAGATGAAAAAATAGATTGGTTAGAAGGCGGGGTCCAGGAGCTAAGAATTCGACTCTTGAGACCAAATAGTAAATACCTGTGGTGTCAGCGAGGCGGACAGTCCGTCTCCTTATTTAGTCTTACTATATTTCAAATTTCTAAACTTTTTTCTTCGCCTTTACCTCTCCAAACCCAGCCACTTGAACTGGACGGTAGAGCCACTGTCTTGTTTCATGCAGGTCAGAGTTCACTCCTCGACCGTCCAAGTGGTTGGGCACCATTTCTTTCCCCCCCCCCGTCCCATCCCAAATCCTTATCCTGATCCATTCCCAGTGCTCACGTAGCACTGACCCTCCTCCCTCGGGGCGTGTGACCCTGCAGGTCACGTAGCAGTGACCCTCCCAGGTTACAGGTCACCTTACAGTGACCCTCCCAGGTTACAGGTCCCCTTACAGTGACCCTCCCAGGTTACAGGTCACCTTACAGTGACCCTCCCAGGTTACAGGTCACCTTACAGTGACCCTCCCAGGTTACAGGTCACCTTACAGTGACCCTCCCAGGTTACAGGTCACCTTACAGTGACCCTCCCAGGTTACAGGTCACCTTACAGTGACCCTCCCAGGTTACAGGTCACCTTACAGTGACCCTCCCAGGTTACAGGTCACCTTACAGTGACCCTCCCAGGTTACAGGTCACCTTACAGTGACCCTCCCAGGTTACAGGTCACCTTACAGTGACCCTCCCAGGTTACAGGTCACCTTACAGTGACCCTCCCAGGTTACAGGTCACCTTACAGTGACCCTCCCAGGTTACAGGTCACCTTACAGTGACCCTCCCAGGTTACAGGTCACCTTACAGTGACCCTCCCAGGTTACAGGCCACCTTACAGTGACCCTCCCAGGTTACAGGCCACCTTACAGTGACCCTCCCAGGTTACAGGTCACGTGGTAGTGTTGCCATCCTCTTGTGTTCAATATTAAACTTCGTCAGAAAAGTGTTTCACCATTTTGTGGCTCGTCAAATCATATTGAATTCTTTAATGTACTTGACAACTTTAAGAAAAGTTTAAGTCTACCGCATGTCAATACCAGGTCTGGCAGAGGTGCGCGTCGCGGCCCTTACACGACGCTCTCGCAGCTTTCTTAACGTCCCGTGAAGGGTCAGAGTTTGGAATGTCAGTCACGCCGCGCAGAGCTGTACCGTCTCCTGCTGGGACCAGGCGTCCACCAGCCCGTCTACCACACCCACCGCTTGAGCGTCCGTCACCCTCCCTGACACGCACCTACCACACACCTACCGCTTGAGCGCCCGTCACCCTCCCTGACACACACCCACCGCTTGAGCGTCCGTCACCCTCCCTGACACACACCCACCGCTTGAGCGTCCGTCACCCTCCCTGACACACACCCACCGCTTGAGCGTCCGTCACCCTCCCTGACACACACCCACCGCTTGAGCGTCCGTCACCCTCCCTGACACACACCCACCGCTTGAGCGTCCGTCACCCTCCCTGACACACACCCTCCTACAGCTTGAGCGTCCGTCACCCTCCCTGACACACACCCACCGCTTGAGCGTCCGTCACCCTCCCTGACACACGCCAACCCGGCGACGTCAACGTCTAATGTAAATTAAAGATGACAATCAACACTTAATTGCCAACCTCGATGAAGCAGATTTGACTGACTTAATCTCTACAAATTGCCGCGGTACATTACTCAGGCGAACACTGCAGACGACGAGTCTCAATAACGTGGCTGAAAATGTTGACCAAACCACACACTAAAAAGTTTAGAGACGACGACCTTTCCAGTCGCTGGTCGTAAGCATAGTGGTTCTGGTCTATGACGGCGTAGCATTTCCTCTCACTATCTCTCGTGCTTGTAACGAGCTAAATTAGCCACTTACCTTGGTGTGGTGGTTCCCAGGGGAGTCTCGGTGTACGTCGAGGTCAACAATGATGCTTCAGTGTTACACTTTATCCACAAACGTTTATGTCATTCAGTAAGACAAGCACAGCACTCGACAGACCGTCCTCTACTCCCGGCGGGTGAAGTGAAAGTACGAGCCGCGGGACCGGCGCGCCGGTATTTATTACCTCGGGTGAACACGTCACCGATGACGTCACAACTTTGAGCTCAATGAGAATGAGAGCCGGGCTCTCATTGGCCAAAATAAGGTGGATTTCAAATGTCCATAGTTATTGGGCTCAACTAATGACGACACCAAAAATGCAAAATCTTATTGGTCAGGTGCTGGAATGTATATAAATATTTTCTTCAATGATTCCCTGACTGAGGCAAATAATAGTGTCAAGGACATCTGAGATATATGTGAATATATTATTGATGTGAATTAAAACAAAAATATTTTCATAATCACACGTCTTATGCTTACTTCATCATACAGGTATTTGACGTAACAAAATAATTTTACAAGTATATAAAAAATAATTAATACTTCTATATAATATGTAGGCCAAATGACTAAAATTAGTTTTGAATTAACCACACAAAAAAGTGGCTTTTGATCATGGATTAAAGTTTATTTTAATGATCAATGCTGTAAAATGATCAGTTTGGACGCAAGTGAACCTTTCACGGGATATTTCAGGAATTTCAACTCGGCATAAAGACGTGATCCAATATATATTTTTCTTATCAGATAAAAGGAAGGTGATTATCAGGAGACAGCGCGCAGCCATTACTACCATATAGCACCCAGCCCGTCCTCACCCAGCCCGTCCTCACCCAGCCCGTCCTCACCAGGCCCGTCCTCACCCAGCCCGTCCTCACCCAGCCCGTCCTCACCCAGCCCGTCCTCACCCAGCCCCTCCTCACCTATCCCGTCCTCACCCAGCCCGTCCTCCCCCAGCCCGTCATCACCTAGCCCGTCCTCACCCAGCCCGTCCTCACCCAGCCCGTCCTCACCCAGCCCGTCCTCACCCAGCCCGTCCTCACCCAGCCCGTCACCACCCAGCCCGTCACCACCCAACCCGTCACCACCCAACCCGTCCTCACCCAGCCCGTCACCACCCAGCCCGTCACCACCCAACCCGTCCCCACCCAGCCCGTCCTCACCCAGCCCGTCCTCACCCAGCCCGTCACCACCCAGCCCGTCCTCACCCAGCCCGTCACCACCCAACCCGTCCTCACCCAGCCCGTCACCACCCAGCCCGTCACCACCCAACCCGTCCTCACCCAGCCCGTCACCACCCAGCCCGTCACCACCCAGCCCGTCACCACCCAACCCGTCCTCACCCAGCCCGTCACCACCCAGCCCGTCACCACCCAACCCGTCCTCACCCAACCCGTCCTCCACCCAGCCCGTGACTACCCAGCCCGTCACCACCCAGCCCGTCCTCATCCAACCCGTCACCACCCAGCCCGTCACCACCCAGCCCGTCACCACCCAGCCCGTCCTCACCCAGCCCGTCCTCACCCAGCCCGTCCTCACCCAGCCCGTCCTCACCCAGCCCGTCCTCAGGCCAGGCTCCTCAATAAATGAATATTTTTAATTATTAGTTAATATTATTATCAGTTAATATTATTATGTATTAAATTTCAATGCATAGTTAGACGTAGGTTAGATTAAGCGCTCAGTTCTTTTGGCATGCAACCCGTCCTCGACTCAAGTCCATTCCATCCAGCGGTCGACCCCACAGACGCATTCATAAATTTTTACATGCTATTTAGTCAAAACGGGAATTTTCTCAAATATAAATTATTATTATTATATATTAGCAAATTGTGCATATATAGGCATAGGTTAGGTTAGGTGTTTAGGTTCTGTTGGTAATTATTTGTATTAGTAGTACGTGGGTGAAGCATTTACAGCGTTGTGGTTCGAACAAAAGTCGTCAGTGAAGTACTTGTTCCGGAAGTGTTCGAACGAAATTAGTTGAGTTGTGTTCTGCCAGCCCGTCCTAAAACAAAAACCCAAAAGTGATTCCATCCACCCGCCAAACCCACTGTTTATGAATGAAAAACGGTTTATAAATGACTCACAACTGATTTCGTTCGAACTCTTCCGGAACAAGTGCTTCACTGACGAATTTTGTTCGAACCGCAACGCTATAAATGCTTCATGGCCGTACTACAAATACAAATAATCACCAACCGAACCTAAACACCTAACCTGACCTATATATGCTCAATTTGCTAATATATTATAATGTTAATTTATATTTAAGAAAATTCCTGTTTTGAATGGAATGCATATTAAAATTTATGAATGCGTCTGTGGGGTCGACCGCTGGATGTAATGGACTTGGGTCGAGGACAGGTTGATCTTAGAGAAATATTCGGCTGGATTAACGAGGATTTGGCCTTTGTTGATGAGGACGAGCTGCTCCATATTATGTTAAGTGTAAACTTGGATTTATTTAATAAAAGCAGGAGCGTGTTGGAGGATCACCTCCGGCGGAGGCGACCTTCCGGTGTGTTATTTTATTTCACACATTCTTAAACGGGTGAAATCCTGCAAGAGTCAAATAGAGAGAAAGATGTGGGGGTTGATAACACACCGAACCTGTCCCCAGAGGCCCACATCAAAAGGATATCATCAGCGGCATATGCTAGGTTATCTTGAGGTTATCTTGAGATGATTTCGGGGCTTTAGTGTCCCCGCGGCCCGGTCGTCGACCAGGCCTCCACCCCCAGGAAGTAGGCCTGGTCGACGACCGGGCCGCGGGGACACTAAAGCCCCGAAATCATCTCAAGATAACCTAGCATATGCCGCTGATGATATCCTTTTGATGTGGGCCTCTGGGGACAGGTTCGGTGTGTTGGCCAACATAAGAACCGCCTTTAGAAACTTGTGTAAGGAATCGTTCAGGACCCTGTATACCACTTATGTAAGACCAATCCTGGAGTATGCAGCTCCAGCCTGGAGTCCATACCTAGTTAAACACAAGACAAAGTTAGAGAAGATTCAGCGGTATGCCACCAGGCTCGTCCCGGAACTGAGAGGAATGAGCTTCGAGGAAAGGCTAAGAGAGCTGAACCTCACGTCCCTGAAAAAAATAGAAGAGTAAGGAGAGACATGATCACCGCCTACAAAATTCTTTGGAGAATTGATAAGTGGAAAAAGACAAACTATTTAGCCTGGGGTGGAACACGAACAAGGGGAACCACTGGTGGAAACTTTGTACCTAAATGAGCCACAAAGACGTTTTTTCAGTGTCAGAATAGTTAACAAATGGAATGCAATAGGCAGTGATGTGGTGGAGGCTGACTCCATACACAGTTTCAAATGTAGACTTGATAGAGCTCAATAGGCTGAAGAATCTGTACATCAGTGTATTGACAGTTGAGAGGCGGGACCAAGGAGCCAAAGCTCAACCCCGGCAAGCACAACTAGGTGAGTACACAAGCTTCAGGGGGAGACCAAAACAAAAGACATAAAGAAGAGATCAGCTCCTTTAAACTTCTTATCTCTAAAGTCCAATTTCCTGAAGAAGAGAGGCGAGCTTGTGTACCTCCTGCTGCCTGTCAAGACGACTTACCTGCTGCCTGTCAAGACGACTTACCTGCTGCCTGTCAGGACGACTTACCTGCTGCCTGTCAGGACGACTTACCTGCTGCCTGTCAGGACGACTTACCTGCTGCCTGTCAGGACGACTTACCTGCTGCCTGTCAAGACGACTTACCTGCTGCCTGTCAGGACGACTTACCTGCTGCCTGTCAGGACGACTTACCTGCTGCCTGTCAGGACGACTTACCTGCTGCCTGTCAGGACGACTTACCTGCTGCCTGTCAGGACGACTTACCTGCTGCCTGTCAGGACGACTTACCTGCTGCCTGTCAGGACGACTTACCTGCTGCCTGTCAAGACGACTAAGGCGGCTCTCCCTGGCCACTTGACGGTAAGCCCACGTAGGTATTAACCTTCTCATGGTGGGAGTAAATATATAAGTCCACAGTCCTCCCTCCTCCTCCTCCTCCTCCTCCTCCTCCTCCTCCTGCTGCTGCTGCTGCTGCTGCTGCTGCTGCTGCTGCTGCTGCTGCTGCTGCCTCGCCGCGTCCCGGCTGGGGCTGGTGGCGCCCCGTGAGGCGCTGGCCAGGTGCTGGCGCCTTCCTGTCTCCTCCCTCTTCAAGTTCTTCCCTCTACACGTTCTTCCCTCTACACGTTCTTCCCTCTACACGTTCTTCCCTCTACACGTTCTTCCCTCTACACGTTCTTCCCTCTACACGTTCTTCCCTCTACACGTTCTTCCCTCTACACGTTCTTCCCTCTACATGTTCTTAACTCTACACGTTCTTCCCTCTACATGTTCTTAACTCTACACGTTCTTCCCTCTAGACGTTCTTCCCTCTACATGTTCTTCCCTCTACATGTTCTTCCCTCTACACGTTCTTCCCTCTACATGTTCTTCCCTCTACACGTTCTTCCCTCTACATGTTCTTCCCTCTACACGTTCTTCCCTCTACATGTTCTTAACTCTACACGTTCTTCCCTCTACACGTTCTTCCCTCTACATGTTCTTCCCTCTACATGTTCTTCCCTCTACATGTTCTTCCCTCTACACGTTCTTCCCTCTACAGGTTCTTCCCTCTACACGTTCTTCCCTCTTCACGTTCTTCCCTCTACATGTTCTTCCCTCTTCACGTTCTTCCCTCTACATGTTCTTCCCTCTACACGTTCTTCCCTCTACATGTTATTCCCTCTACATGTTCTTCCCTCTACATGTTCTTCCCTCTACATGTTCTTCCCTCTACATGTTCTTCCCTCTACATGTTCTTCCCTCTACACGTTCTTCCCTCTACATGTTCTTCCCTCTACATGTTCTTCCCTCTACACGTTCTTCCTTCTACATGTTCTTCCCTCTACATGTTCTTCCCTCTACATGTTCTTCCCTCTACACGTTCTTCCCTCTACATGTTCTTCCCTCTACATGTTCTTAACTCTACACGTTCTTCCCTCTACACGTTCTTCCCTCTACATGTTCTTCCCTCTACACGTTCTTCCCTCTTGAAGAACATGTGTTCTTCCCTCTACATGTTCTTCCCTCTACACGTTCTTCCCTCTACATGTTCTTAACTCTACACGTTCTTCCCTCTACATGTTCTTCCTTCTACATGTTCTTCCCTCTACATGTTCTTAACTCTACACGTTCTTCCCTCTACATGTTCTTCCTTCTACATGTTCTTCCCTCTACAGGTTCTTCCCTCTACATGTTCTTCCCTCTACAGGTTCTTCCCTCTATATGTTCTTCCCTCTACACGTTTTTCCCTCTACATGTTCTTCCCTCTACAGGTTCTTCCCTCTACACGTTCTTCCCTCTACATGTTCTTCCCTCTACACGTTCTTCCCTCTACATGTTCTTCCCTCTACATGTTCTTCCCTCTACATGTTCTTCCCTCTACATGTTCTTCCCTCTACACGTTCTTCCCTCTACATGTTCTTCCCTCTACACGTTCTTCCCTCTACATGTTCTTTCCTCTACACGTTCTTCCCTCTACATGTTCTTCCCTCTACATGTTCTTCCCTCTACACGTTCTTCCCTCTACATGTTCTTCCCTCTACATGTTCTTCCCTCTACATGTTCTTCCCTCTACACGTTCTTCCCTCTACATGTTCTTCCCTCTACATGTTCTTCCCTCTACAGGTTCTTCCCTCTACATGTTCTTCCCTCTACACGTTCTTCCCTCTACACGTTCTTCCCTCTACACGTTCTTCCCTCTACACGTTCTTCCCTCTACATGTTCTTCCCTCTACATGTTCTTCCCTCTACATGTTCTTCCCTCTACACGTTCTTCCCTCTACACGTTCTTCCTTCTACATGTTCTTCCCTCTACATGTTCTTCCCTCTACATGTTCTTCCCTCTACACGTTCTTCCCTCTACATGTTCTTCCCTCTACATGTTCTTCCCTCGACACGTTCTTCCCTCTACACGCTCTTCCCTCTACAGGTTCTTCCCTCTACAGGTTCTTCCCTCTACATGTTCTTCCCTCTACATGTTCTTCCCTCTACACGTTCTTCCCTCTACATGTTCTTCCCTCTACATGTTCTTCCCTCTACATGTTCTTCCCTCTACACGTTCTTCCCTCTACATGTTCTTCCCTCTACATGTTCTTCCCTCTACAGGTTCTTCCCTCTACATGTTCTTCCCTCTACACGTTCTTCCCTCTACACGTTCTTCCCTCTACACGTTCTTCCCTCTACACGTTCTTCCCTCTACATGTTCTTCCCTCTACATGTTCTTCCCTCTACATGTTCTTCCCTCTACACGTTCTTCCCTCTACACGTTCTTCCCTCTACACGTTCTTCCCTCTACATGTTCTTCCCTCTACATGTTCTTCCCTCTACATGTTCTTCCCTCTACACGTTCTTCCCTCTACATGTTCTTCCCTCTACATGTTCTTCCCTCGACACGTTCTTCCCTCTACACGCTCTTCCCTCTACAGGTTCTTCCCTCTACAGGTTCTTCCCTCTACATGTTCTTCCCTCTACATGTTCTTCCCTCTACACGTTCTTCCCTCTACAGGTTCTTCCCTCTACATGTTCTTCCCTCTACACGTTCTTCCCTCTACAGGTTCTTCCCTCTACATGTTCTTCCCTCTACACGTTCTTCCCTCTACAGGTTCTTCTATCTACATGTTCTTCCCTCTACACGTTCTTCCCTCTACATGTTCTTCCCTCTACAGGTTCTTCCCTCTACATGTTCTTCCCTCTACAGGTTCTTCCCTCTACATGTTCTTCCCTCTACAGGTTCTTCCCTCTACACGTTCTTCCCTCTACATGTTCTTCCCTCTACATGTTCTTCCCTCTACATGTTCTTCCCTCTACATCCACGTGTTCTTACCGGGTACGTTATAAGGTTGTGTTCTTAACGAGTAAGTTTTCATTATGTTATTCTGTTATGTTCTTAATGGGAATGTTATTATATGTTATTTTGTTCTTATGTCTTTATATTTGTCTGTTATTATGTTATGTTCTTGATATATATTCTTATGTTGTGTTCTTGTGTTATTATGTTATGTTCTTTCTATGTCCTCCAGATGATAAGAGATAAGGAACAGCAGAAGACTGTTGGAGGTCACAGTGGAGATCATAGTGGAGGAGGTCACAGTGGAGGTCACAGTGGAGGTCACAGTGGAGATCATAGTGGAGATCATAGTGGAGGAGGTCACAGTGGATGTCACAGTGGAGATCATAGTGGAGGAGGTCACATTGGAGGTCACAGTGGAGGTCACAGTGGAGGTCACAGTGGAGGTCACAGTGGAGATCACAGTGGAGGTCACAGTGGAGGTCACAGTGGAGGTCACAGTGGAGGTCACAGTGGAGGTCACAGTGGAGGTCACAGTGGAGATCACAGTGGAGGTCACAGTGGAGGTCACAGTGGAGGTCATAGTGGAGATCACAGTGGAGGTCACAGTGGAGGTCACAGTGGAGGTCACAGTGGAGGTCACAGTGGAGATCATAGTGGAGATCATAGTGGAGGGGGTCACAGTGGAGGTCACAGTGGAGGTCACAGTGGAGGTCACAGTGGAGATCATAGTGGAGGAGGTCACAGTGGAGGTCACATTGGAGGTCACAGTGGAGGTCACAGTGGAGATCATAGTGGAGGAGGTCACAGTGGAGGTCACATTGGAGGTCACAGTGGAGGTCACAGTGGAGATCATAGTGGAGGAGGTCACAGTGGAGGTCACAGTGGAGATCATAGTGGAGGAGGTCACAGTGGAGGTCACATTGGAGGTCACAGTGGAGGTCACAGTGGAGGTCACAGTGGAGGTCACAGTGGAGGTCACAGTGGAGATCATAGTGGAGGAGGTCACAGTGGAGGTCACATTGGAGGTCACAGTGGAGGTCACAGTGGAGGTCACAGTGGAGGTCACAGTGGAGGTCACAGTGGAGGTCACAGTGGAGGTCACAGTGGAGGTCACAGTGGAGGTCACATTGGAGGTCACAGTGGAGGTCACAGTGGAGGTCACAGTGGAGGGGGTCACAGTGGATGTCACAGTGGAGGAGGTCACAGTGGAGGTCACAGTGGAGGGGGTCACAGTGGATGTCACAGTGGAGGGGGTCACAGTGGATGTCACAGTGGAGGGGGTCACAGTGGATGTCACAGTGGAGGGGGTCACAGTGGAGGTCACAGTGGATGTCACAGTGGAGGGGATCACAGTGGAGGAGGTCACAGTGGAGGAGGTCACAGTGGAGGAGGTCACAGTGGAGGGGATCACAGTGGAGGAGGTCACAGTGGAGGTCACAGTGGAGGAGGTCACAGTGGAGGAGGTCACAGTGGAGGAGGTCACAGTGGAGGGAGCAGTAGCGCAAAAAGGATTACAGAGAGCACAAAAGGTCTTATCAGACCTCAACGGTGATAATTACCTTAACAATTTCATCCGTCCTTCACACTTTATAATTACAATGTCAGCTAGTTACAGAGAATGTTCTATTTCAAGAGCTATATATTAAGAGTTCATTATACCTTAATGGTAGTTCTTATCGCTAATACATAATTGTTTGAGCAATGGAGATATTACAGTCATAGGGGAGCTGCTGTTTGTTATTATTAGTCTTCACAATACACTACTTGATGCTAATCTCATATCTCGTTTATCTACTGGAAGCGAAATATGGATACAGTGCAAGGATATCAGGTATTTTATCCTTAGTAATAAGATAACTTGCCATTTAATACAATGTGAGTTTAGATTTATCTCCAAATGACTCAATTTTACTACAATCCAAGATATAGTGTTCGAGTGTGTGTCTCTGTCTTTGTCCACGCACTTTACACTTTACTTCATCTAGGTCCCTATACAAGCCAAACTGCCAGAGATACTTGTAGCCCAGTCTTATACGAGCTGTGACAACATCTGTTAGTCTACTGATGTTGTTACTTGCCCCATACACATGTTTTACTTCACACATTTCATTGTGATGAACAATGGACCTCTATCATGTCACCCCCTAATTCTTCGCCAGTTTTTATTGTTTGTTTGTACAAAATTTCAGTTTGTACTGTTCTGTTTTCTTCAAGAATCTAAGAGTTCTCGTCTAATGACACTTTTAAGGGACCTATTTGATAACTCAAGATTCCGTTCTACACTCTTCATTTACTGCAGCCTTAGCAAGGGCGTCAACTTTATCATGTTCATGCAGGCCAGTGTGAGAGGAAATCCACATTATTTAGACGTTTACCCCTTATTAAGTATGCTTATATATCTGTGTCTGGCTTAGGAGACAGGCATGTTATTACTTGATTGCAAACTATTTAATGCTAGTAGTGAGGAAAGGGAGTCGGAAATAATTAAGTTGTCTATTTCAGTGTTGTCAACAATTTTGAGTGCTACCAGTATTGCTACCAATTTAGCTTGCATTGTAGATGCCCAATTACTAACTCTTATATTCTTTTGAATTGTGCTGCCATCGGGCTGATGAACAATAAAAGCACTTCCTTCCCTCCAAGTAGCTGTATTGAGTGATCTCTATCGGTGTATATGGTCTGTGCGATGTTGTTTTTAGTTTGTAAATTGTGTATGTGTTCAAGTTTGGTTAATTTAGCAGCAAGGTGAGAATGAGGGTTGTGTAGTGAGTTCAGTACCCCCTACAACACGGTGGAGATCAGGGAAAATGGCAGGGGGGACAAATGAGAGGCAACTGACCAGCGGGAGGACACCGGACAGATGAGTATGAGACCGGACGACTTCTGGTTCAACCTTGACAACGAGCGAACGTTTGGACACCTCTTCCTCCTGGGAGCCGCTTGATCAGGTTCTGTTTTCGCGTTTTTGCTTTGAAACTGCCGTTTGGCATCCCTATTCAATGGTCCGGTTGTACGACGCCTGGCTTGGGTCATGAGATTGTTGATAGATATTTTTTACGTGTTCTGACTGGTTTTCCCGGCGGAGTGACGGTGCTCGGCTTGGCTGAGAGATGCTGGGGGTTGGCGGGTCTTGGTGGGCTCCTGGTGTGCCCTAAGACGTGGTGGGCGGCTGGCTTCTGCTCTGCCGGAGGACACTGGATGACTTTCTCGTTTTAGTTGGGGGCAGAGTTTCTGGTTTTTCTACCCAGTGTTCTTTGTGTGGAGGTGGAGTTGTAGAATGTATGTGTGTGGATCAGAGACTTGTGTTTACTTAACCCTTGTCTGGTGGATATTAGGTCACCAAAGTGGTAACCCCGGAGTTGATTCCACACCAGTGTTTACCCAGCCAGGGTGTAAACAAACCATGGCACCCGGGTTCAAGCTACCAGCACATCTTCCGTCTGACACAGCGGCATCGTTTGCACAGGTAGAGGCCTTCTTTAACACTTACACGGTAACCAAAGAGGAAGAGCAATATGCACTCACTGTGACGGAATTGCCTCCAGACACCCTTCAGGAGGTATGAGCTGTGGTTAGAACACAGTCAACCACAACCATACGCCGCCCTAAAGACTGCTCTCCTCGCTGCAGTCAAGGTATGTAGAAGCTGCCAGCATGACCACCGAAGCCGTTTTCCGAATAGGCACACGGTTGGTGGCAGTTCCGGACTCTAGCCCTATACCTGCAATGGTAGTAGCAGTAGTCTGGGTTGGAATCGGGTGTCAAAGATGGGCTGTAGGACTTGCATTTGGGATGTTGGCGGCTCTGATGAACACTGAGGAGTTGGCTGTTCATTTGGGTCGTCATTGTCGAGTGGTCAGAGGCAAGGGTATTTCCCGACCAGAGTGAGTCGTTTGCTGCATTATGGATTCGGTCTGTTATTCTCGCCAGGCTCTCTGGTGTCACGTCGTCACTCTGGGCAAGGAGTAGCATGCGAATGTATAAGGGCAAGTGTTGTAGGAACAGTACCTGTAGCGGGTAATTGTTACATGCTCCACTTGCTGACTGTAGCAAGAGCTGCATTTGCTGAAGCATTTGGAATGGTGTCCAATCCCCGAGGCTGCAATAGCTACTGTTGGTAAGGAGCAGGTCATACCTGCTTGATGGGGTTCTGGGAGTTCTTCTACTCCCCAGAACCCCATCACTTGTGAGAGTTTGGTCCACTAGGCTGTTGCTTGGAGCGGCCCGCAGGCCCACATACCCATCACAGCCCGGTTGAAAAACCACTCCTTGACGACGCCTGGCTCCTTGAAGAAAACAATCTAGTTTTCTCTTGAAGATGTCCATGGTTGTTCCGGCAATATTTCTGATGCTCGCTGGTAGGACGTTGAACAACCGCAGACCTCTGATGTTTATAGTGTTCTCTGATTGTGCCTATGGCACCTCTGCTCTTCACTGGTACTATTCTGCATTTACTTCCATAAGCATTTTTCTTTCATTTTCTTCCGCATTGCCACCTTGAATGATTCACTTTTATATATGTTTGATTGTACCTCCAGTTCAATCAGGTGCTTCAATTTCTGTTATCCCTCCTCTAGCATACAAGCCACATTGTACTCCACACTAAGACATGGTTGCTGCCAATGGTACTGTCATACCTACCTACGGTGATAGTTTAGCCACTCTTGACTTTGCTGACTTTGGTCGCTTCATATGGATGTTCCACGTTCCTAAAGTTAATATGCCTATTCTAGGGGTGCGACTTCTTACGCCACCACACCAACTTCTTGGTGGATGTGACATGTGGTGGATTCCAGCAGGTGAGTACAGAGCAATGGCTATTCACTAGTCTTGCCCCGCATAATTTTCCTGACCTGCTGAGCCTTTTGGAGGAATTTGAGGACATCACCAAGCCACAGCCACCAAATGCCAAGTTAAGCACAAGGTTACCATTATATTCGTACCTCCGTCCGTCCAACCTACGAGCAACCATGCCAACTGCCGCTAGAGCATGTCCAGGTGCCGAAGGACGAATTTGACAAGCTGCTAGTTGCTGGGATTATACGACGCTCTGGGAGTGCCTAGGAACTCCACTGCATATGGTTCCGAAGACAACTCCAGTAGAATGGCATCCCTGTGGGAGCTACAGAGTGCTGAATGTTCACACCCTGCCAGACTGTTACCCAATCCCTCACATTCAGGACTTTTCTAACATGCTGCATGGTGCAACAACATTCTTGAAAATAGATTAGGTGCGAGCATTTCACCAAATCCCAGTGGAGCCAGCTGACATATCCAAAACTGCAATTACAACACCTTTTAGCTTGCTTGAATTTATTAGGATGCTCTTTGGTCTCGGTAATGCAGCGCAGACACTCCAACACCTCATTGATCAGGTCGTCAGAGACCTACCCTTCTGCTATGCTTACATTGATGACCTCTTAATAGTGAATCGCTCTTCGGCTGACCATCGGAACAATCTTCGTATACTTTTTGCTCGCCTCCGCGTTTATGGCCTGCAGATTAATCTAGAAAAATGTATTTTCGAGGTGCCCAAGCTCAAATTCTTGGGACACCGAGTGTTCTCCACAGGTATTCTGCCACTGGAGAAGATCGAGGCTATCTGAGAGTTTGCGACACCCACCATAACTAAGAAGCTTCAAGAACTTCTGGGCGTGGTTAATTTTTACAATAGGGTAATCCCACACTGTTCTGACACCCTGAAACCTTTATATGACTTCCTGTGTGGGCATAAGCAGGCATCCAAGGTACTTCTGCCATAGTCACCAGAAACATAGGCAGCGTTCACCAATCTTAAGCAGGAGCTAGCTCAACTCACTCTCCTCACCCATCCAGTGTTCGATGCGCCAACTACCTCTTAACGGATACCTCCAACATTGCTATATGAGCGGTACTCCATTAATTTATCGACGACATCTGGCAACGCCTTGCTTTCTTATCAGCAAGCTTAATGCTGTCAAAGACAAAATACAGCACATTTGACAGAGAACTCCTTGCTATATATGCAGCCATTCGACAATTCAGGCATTTTCTCGAGAGACGTAAACTGCTACGTCCTCATCGATCACAAACCACTGGCTGACGCTCTTGCAGCAAAACAAGATTCCCACTTGCCGCAAGTCGCTCGACATTTGAGCTACTAGTTCACACTCACATCAGGTACATGAAGGGGACTGAGAATGTCGTGGCCGATGCCCTCTCTCAACCTGGCTTGTGTGCACTTTTTCCAGAGACGACCCACATCGATTACATAGAAAATGCTAGATCCCGGCAACATGACCTGGTGTCATGGCAATAGTGTCCTGGCTGCCCTGCGACGGTCGTAGAGACGAGCCCCTCCCATTCGTGGGGGGCGGCTCTCGCGGCGTGCAAAAGGTCGGTGATCCACCCGACCCGTCTTGAAATCCATTGCATTCAATTGCAATTGCACACCTCTTCCTCAGCACTTCGGTTCGTCGATGTACCTGTGCCTAATTCTAAGGATACTATCACACGTGACATGTCCATCATTGTCATCCTACGGCCATATATTCCTAAGACCAATTGGCGGAGGATTTTCATGGTTCTCCATTCCTTGGCTCACCAGGGCTTCCGAGCTACACTGCACCTCCTGACCGAACGGATGATATGGCCAGGAATCAACACTGATGTTTTAAGCTGGGCTCGCAACTGCCTCCAATGTTAGCAGTCAAATATACATCAACAAACACACAGACGCCTCTTCAGAACTTTCCGTTACCATCGGCAAGATCTGAATTGGTCTATGTGGATATCGTCGGTCCATTTCCTCGATACGGTGGGTGTTCCAGTGGTTGTCTCGATCGATCGGGTGAAAGCAGCACATTTCGATGCCATGCCAGCAGTGGCGGCCCCAGCTGCTGCTGTGGAGGAGATCTAGTACCCACATCAACAAACTGAATCCCCCACCATCAGCGGACACTCTTCCTGAAGATGTACCTCCTCATTTCTTTCATCTACTGGTACCATCTCCAGACCCGAACATTGCAGCGCCTGCTGATGACGGCATAGACGACAGCGACGGCGACGTCAACATGGAGGGTCGCACGGCAACACCGTGCACTGTCTGATTCCTGGACTCTTGGTACCTCGTCGTCTAGAGAGCGGCGGGGGTGGGGGGGGGAGGATTAGGAGTACCATAGGGACATCAGTACCCCCCTCCCCCCCCTCCAACACAGCGGAGATCAGGGAAAATGACAGAGGGGCAAATGAGAGGCAACCGACCAGAGGGAGGACAACAGGAAAAATTAATCGATTTCTTAGTGGCCCCATTGACCGCGAGGAGGTATACCAACAGTCTGCTGAGTGTGTGGACTCGCCTAATTGTGCTTGCGGGGGTCCACCTTCAGCTATTTAGTCCCGCCTCACAACTGTCAGTATACTTGGCTGTATTATAGCCAATTGGGCTCTATTAGAGCCTATTGGGCTTTAACATATCTTCATTTGAAACAGTGTGTGGAGTCTGCCGCCACCACAGCACTTCCTAGTGTATTCCATTTGTTAACTACCCTATCACAAACAAATTTCTTTCTAATGTCTATGTAAACTCTACACCAGGGGAAGGAGCGCTCTACACCAGGGGAAGGAGCGCTCTACACCAGGGGAAGGAGCGCTCTACACCAGGGGAAGGAGTGCTCTACACCAGGGGAAGGAGCGCTCTACACCAGGAGAAGGAGCGCTCTACACCAGGGGAAGGAGCGCTCTACACCAGGAGAAGGAGCGCTCTACACCAGGAGAAGGAGCGCTCTACACCAGGAGAAGGAGCGCTCTACACCAGGAGAAGGAGCGCTCTACACCAGGAGAAGGAGCGCTCTACACCGGGAGAAGGAGCGCTCTACACCAGGAGAAGGAGCGCTCTACACCAGGAGAAGGAGCGCTCTACACCGGGAGAAGGAGCGCTCTACACCAGGAGAAGGAGCGCTCTACACCAGGAGAAGGAGCGCTCTACACCAGGAGAAGGAGCGCTCTACACCAGGGGAAGGAGCGCTCTACACCAGGAGAAGGAGCGCTCTACACCAGGAGAAGGAGCGCTCTACACCAGGAGAAGGAGCGCTCTACACCAGGGGAAGGAGCGCTCTACACCAGGAGAAGGAGCGCTCTACACCAGGAGAAGGAGCGCTCTACACCAGGGGAAGGAGCGCTCTACACCAGGAGAAGGAGCGCTCTACACCAGGAGAAGGAGCGCTCTACACCAGGGGAAGGAGCGCTCTACACCAGGAGAAGGAGCGCTCTACACCAGGGGAAGGAGCGCTCTACACCAGGGGAAGGAGCGCTCTACACCAGGAGAAGGAGCGCTCTACACCAGGGGAAGGAGCGCTCTACACCAGGAGAAGGAGCGCTCTACACCAGGGGAAGGAGCGCTCTACACCAGGGGAAGGAGCGCTCTACACCAGGAGAAGGAGCGCTCTACACCAGGGGAAGGAGCGCTCTACACCAGGGGAAGGAGTGCTCTACACCAGGGGAAGGAGCGCTCTACACCAGGAGAAGGAGCGCTCTACACCAGGGGAAGGAGCGCTCTACACCAGGGGAAGGAGCGCTCTACACCAG